CACACACACACCACCCACCACCACCCACCCACCACACACACACACAACACACACACACACACACACACACACACAATATATATATATATATATATATATATATAACTCTTTTATATCTACGGATATATGAATTGTGAATACATCCGACTCGACTAGTCATCATACATGTGTCCAAACATCAAATCAAAATATGACACTACGTTAAAATCCAAAGTTAGTTCGTAAAAAAAATTGTAGAGAACGGATTAGGACATGTAGTCTGAGCACATGAATTATAAAGAAATAACTATACCTGTGGGGATCTTCTGTATGTGAAGTATGTTGTATCCGATACGACTTTGTGATACTGGACAGATATCGTCCAATTCTCCATGCATAAACAGGCACGGGGCCGTTGCAGTGTGTAGGTGCTCATAATTGTTGCTAGCGCTGTTATCATACGCCCGAGGCCATGAAATCTACGGATGTTCGGGTGGTGAAGTGGATGTCAGTCGTCAGATGTTTTTGTCGGAAGATACACAGCCGAAAGTGATTTTAAATACACAAAACAAAAAGTTAACAAATAATCCCTCGTTCGACAAATACAAACACAAATAGCGTAGAATGGCGCCAGTCATTAGTCGCAGATTGATTACACGTGCCATTTGTCAATCATCGTATCTCCCATTATTGAATTCAAAGATTCCATTTGTGTCTCGATTATCAGCGGTGTATAAAATGCACTTATCAGTTGGCTCTCAACTAGTCACAATAACGAGAGTAATAATGCCGGTAATCTGGTAGCGTATTCTAATGCATAACTGTGTCTGTTCAGAGCTTTGTTTCAGTATCTGCATTCACAGTGCAATTGGTACTATGTGATGTGTGCACGAGGGGTTGAGATGATACTGCACATCCTGAACATATCAGAGACATCCTTTTATCTCTTGGACGAACGACTTACAGATGCGAGCTGTGTATATGTCATCATAAGCATGAGAAGGTTTTACTAGCATTAGGATGGGTCATCACTAGCATTCGCATGAGTCATCACTAGCAATAGCATGAGTCATCACTATCAATAGCATGAGTCATCACTAGCATTCGCATAAGTAATACTAGCATTAGCATGAGTCATGTTAACACACATTCTTCTCATGACCTTCTTGTTCTCTTTCTAAGGTTTTAGGGCTATCGACGGTGTTACATGGTGAACGAGACAGTACCCATCTACAGACCATGCTGTGTCATGCTGCATGCATATGCATTGGGCATAACATATATGGGGTTTAGAAGGGTTGCTGAACCCTAAAACTCAAATCCTCAACAAACAAACCTTAACGTTAACATACCTTTCCAAAGTATTCTTCCTCCCAGGTGAGGTCACCACCCTCAGCGGACATCATTCGATTGTCCACATAGCCATACATGGACACTCCCGCGCCAAAGCGTTTGGTGTGGGCAATGGCGTGGTTAGTCATGTAGCCACCGTAACTGCCTCCCCAAATACCATGCTGCAGGTGCAGTTCCAACAGAAAAAAAAACACAAAACGAAAAGAACATTGAGAGTTGAGCGTGACGTTGCATTCGCAATTTACGGTGCGGTGCAAACGAAGCAATCGAAACAATCGAAACAATCGAAACAATAGAAACAAT